CCTGTGATATGAGTTTACCTATATAAAAAGCTGTATGCATACCCCTGAACCTAAAATAAAAGTAAAAAATAAAACAAAATGAGGTGATTAAATCATCATCTTCAGCATTAGTAATATAAGTCTGAGCTGAACGTAGTGGCTCACGCCCATAATCCCAGCACTTTGGGAGGCTGAGGTGGGTGGATCAGAGGTCAAGAGATGGAGACCATCCTAGCCAACATGGTGAAACCTCGTCTCTACTAAAAATACAAAAATTAGCTGGATGTGGTGGCAGATGCCTGTAATTCCAGCTACTTGGGAGGCTGGGGCTGGAGAATCGCTTGAACCTGCAAGGTGGAGTTTGCAGTGAGCTGAGATCGCGCCATTGCACTCTAGCCTGGGTGACAGTAAGAGAGTCCATCTCAATCGATCAATCAATCAATGAATCAATCAATCAAACAAGTCTGCCTTTCTCATAGAAACCTATTTTCTATTGTTACTGGGGAGTCAGTCATTTAAAAAATACCAACTATTTCACAGGGAAAGTTTTATTTGCATTACAAATCACTAAAGGTAATTCTGGAAACAACAAGAAACTAAAAAAAACTTTTTAAGCTGTGCAATCTTTAATGCAAAGATACAAATGTGAACTATTAATTTCCTCTCTATTGCCTATTCAGCAGATCAAACTTTCACAAATAGCTGAGTAAATTTTGTGTATCAAGTCAAATTTTATAGAAAATACAGTTTACATCGCCAGAACTCACAAGGTAAGAAAATCAGAACCTTCACTGCTACCTAGAAAACTGTGGAGAAACCCACCACATATCTCTTTGGAAAAGGCTTCAGCGTGTGCAATGTACAGTGTAAAACACAGTTGTCAAGAGTCCAAAAATAGCTAGATACACCTGCTAATTGTTTCTACATGATCTGAAGCAATCCCATGTATGTTTACTTTTGAAATATACAGACTTCATTCTGCAGGAACAGTGGGTTAGGTAAAGAGAACACCTGTGAAGAGAAAAAGACCATTCTAACCAATGAACACTTCAACAGGATGAAATTTATGGCATATGAATTATAGATCATTTTTTAAAAAAGAGGAGAGGTCGCGCGCGGTGGCTCACGCCTGTAATCCCAGCATTTTGGGAGGCCGAGGCGGGTGGATCATGAGGTCAAGAGATTGAGACCATCCTGGTCAACATGGTGAAACCCCGTCTCTACTAAAACTACAAAAAATGAGCTGGGCATGGTGGCGTGTGCCTGTAATCCCAGCTACTCAGGAGGCCGAGGCAGGAGAATTGCCTGAACCCAGGAGGTGGAGGTTGCGGTGAGCCGAGATCGCGCCATTGCACTCCAGCCTGGGTAACAAGAGCGAAACTGTCTCAAAAAAACAAACAAACAAAAAAAAAAAGAGGAGAACACATAAAGCACCCCAGGTGACGTAAGTGCTATAGAAGGAATCTCTGTTCGTCACCTCTGGAATCTCCTTTCACTAGAGCCTTCTCTTTCGTTTTTGCTCTCTCCTTTGCCCACAGGACCTCATGTAATATTGCCATGGATGCTACTGATTTCATGTGTACCCCACTGACCTCTGGGTGTAGGAAGCTGAACTTGACTTTTTGAATCACTTCTCCATTTAGTTTTTTCTTTTTTGAGATAGTGTCTTGCTCTATCGCCCCAGCTGGGGTGCAGTGGCACGATCACAGCTCACTGAAGCCTTGACCTCCTAGGCCCAAGCAATCCTCATGCCTAACCCTCCCAAGTAGCTAGGACTACAGGCATGTGTCACCAGATCTGGCTGTTTTTAAAATTTTTTTGGAGAAATGAGGGTCTCACTTGATGTTGTGCAGGCTGGTCTTGAACTCCTGACTTCAAGCCGTCCTCCTGCCTTGGCCTCCCACAGCGCTGGGATTATAGACACGAACTACCATGCCCCACCCCCACTGACTCTTGGTACTTCCATTTTCCCTCTGCCTTCCCTACATCCTTTTTAGGGAAAGAGGAAATGTTTATTCCACAATTTTGATGGAATCAAAACTGACAAGCCCTCTGAGACAAAATAAAGGGAATGAACATTTGTCAACTGCCTAGTTAGGGGCTCTGCGGGGTCCTAAATATATGTTATCCTATTGAAACTCATGACTACTTGTAAGATGAAGATTCTTATTCTCATACTCCAGATGAAAACACCAAAGCTGTGAGAGCTTCCTCTATTTAGACATCCAGTGGATATTTGCCCAGAATATCTATTTTTTCTTTAGGGGGCACAGCTTGAAAACTGCTTGCTGAATAGAACTAACTATAGCCAGGGAAAATGTACTAAAAGCAACATTATGCTAATAAAAAGCGACATTTAAACACGATTACACTTCAAATAATCCCCAGAAGAACATTCCCATTCTAGGAGGCAGGATGTTTAAGAAGATGTGATCTCACAGTAGCACAAAAGAAAGGAGGAGACACACAAACGCTATTTTTCACTATTGAAAAGAATATACAAAGCACTCACTGAGAAACTAGGTTTTCTGCCACTTTGATGGCTCCTGGGTTTGCCAGAGCAAATTGAACAGTTTTTCTTAGATTGGGTTTGTCTCAGAGTCTCATCTGCCATCCCTTCCTCCTCCCCTCAATAAAACCAAGTTCGTTTTGGCTGCATTTGACTAGACGGGGAAGGAAGAGCAGCAGAATATGGAGTTCCTGGGTCTGGAGTTAACTTCTGGGTATCCTGATATTTGAAAGTTGCAGACTTAATAGTCTTTCAACTGCTGCAGCCACTGACTACTTCACGGCCAGTGGCACACCACAGGGACTCAGGTTCCAAGGCTGCCCATGGGTATCATCTCTTGATAGACTACCACACCTGGAGATAGACTGCCTGGGTTTGAACCCCAGCTCCACCTCATTATGGCACTGTGACCTTGGCAAGGTCCACAATCTCTCTGTGCCTGCTTTGTTATATGTAAAGTGGGGATGGGAATAGCTCCTTTCCCCAGTTGAGAGAATTCAAAGGTTGAATGCATGAAAAACACTAAAAATAGTGCCTAACACATAATTTTGTGTTAGGTAAGTTCCTGTTCAATTAAATAATTAAAAGATAAAAATACATACTGCTATTGTAAACAGTGCTGCAATGAACATACATGTGCATATGTCTTTATAATAGAATGATTTATAATCCTTTGGGTATATACCCAGTAATGGGATTGTAACCCAAATGCCCGTCAATGATAGAATAGATAAAGAAAATGTGGCACATAGACACCATGGAATACTATGCAGCCATAAAAAACGATGAGTTCATGTCCTTTGCAGGGACATGGATGAAGCTGGAAACCATCATTCTCAGCAAACTGACACAAGAACAGAAAACCATACACCACATGTTCTCACTCATAAGTGGGTGTTGGACAATGAGAACACATGGACACAGGGAGGGGAACATCACATACGGGGGCCGGTGGGGGGCGGGGGGGCTAGGGGAGGGATACAGGGGGTGGGGGAATTGAGGAGGGATAACGTTAGGAGAAATACCTAACATGGGTGATGGTGGAGGGGATGGATGCAGCAAACCACCATGGCATGTGCAGACCTAGGTAACAATCCTGCACAATCTGCACATGTACCCAGAACTTAAAGTATAATAAAATAAAAAAAATGCATACTGCTATTCATTAAATAACTTTTAAAAACGCCTCCCTTATATTATTTTGTTAACTGATTTGTACATCTTTACATGAATTAGAAATTCTCAAAAAGTAATTTGTTCAAGGCCACATACGGTGGTTCATGCCTGTAATCCCAGCATTTTGGGAGGCCGAGGCGGGTGGATCACTTGGGGTCAGGAGTTTGAGAGCAGGGTGGCCACATCTCTACTAAAAATACAGAAATTAGCTGGGCGTGGTGGTGCACGCCTACAGTCCCAGCTACTTGGGAGGCTGAGGAAGGAGAATCGCTTGAACCTGGGAGGTGGAGGCTGAAATGAATTGAAATCACACCCCTGTACTCCAGCCTGGGTGACAGGGCAAGACTCCGTCCCCCAAAAAACAAAAACAAACAGTAATTTGTTCAGCTGGTTTGTGGTTTATCCCTCCCTGTGTCCATGTGTTCTCATTGTTCAACACCCACTTATGAGTGAGAATATGTGGTGTTCAGTTTTCTGTTCTTGTGTCAGTTTGCTGAGAATGATGGTTTCCAGCTTCATCCATGTCCCTGCAAAGGACATGAACTCATCGTTTTTTATGGCTGCATAGTATTCCATGGTGTATATGTGCCACATTTTCTTTATCCAGTCTATCATTGATGGCCATTAGGGCTGCAATTCCATTACTAGTATAAACCCAAAGGATTTGCTCTACTGCTTTGTGGTTTGTATCAGATGGAATGCAAATAGCTCGAAAGTCCAGAAGGAAGTATCAAAAAAGATCTTTTGTGGAACAACGGGTTACAAATGGCCTCTCAATATTGATGATATTGTCCAAATTGATTGCTGGAGGATTCCACAGCTTTTCAGAAGACATGCACACTACTACATGTATATGTCTGCTGCCCCAGGCAGATGAAGCAGAAAGAAGAGAAAAACGGCTTTGCTTTAGACCTCCGGGGAGTGAAGGTATAGATAGGTTCAATTGTCCCTGGCCACCTCAAATCCTGACAGAACAAACACTGGCGGGTCTCTGGGCTTTACAAAGAGCTTCTCCCATCTCAGCGCAACAATTTGGTCTGCTATCCACTTTATAACCATGTTTCTCTTGGGAGAAGCAAAGCCTGGTTTAAATGTATAGATACTAAATATTTATTTGCTTATTTGCAAGAAGGACCTTTTTTAAAATTTTTTTTTAACATTATTCACCCAAACTTCTCATTTCAAGGCGCAGGCCAGGTGGTGCCTTGGCATTCCTCAGGGACACCCTCCGCATGCCCCAGGACTCCCAGACACTGCTGTGTCTGTCTCACAGTTCTGAAGGAATACATCACCTGGCAGGGACAGATGGCTTTCTCTGGAAAAAGACCAAGCTTACCCAAATAGTTGTTGCTTTTGTACATCTCCGTGATGTTGATTTTCGTGGCTCCCTGGGGAATCTCCACGACGCGGTGGTAGCCCAGGCTGGTGAGGGCATGTTTAAACACGCCCGACACAACCTGACAGCCCGTATTGTCTCCTCCACACACCCCACATTTGTCCACGACTTTGTCAGAGCCTAGGTAGTCATCACAGCCAATGTTCTGCAAAAAGGCAGAAAACAAAAGACTCTTATAGTATGAATCAGGAGCATGCAGAAGGAAGGAGGGGAGAAGCTCTCTGGGCAAGAAACTCCTTTTCTTGCTATTTATGAAATGTATATTCTAGGAGTGGGGTGGGGGCCACAGATTAAAGCCACAGACAATAAAACAGTTTGTTTGGTGGTGGTAAATGATCAGGAGAAAAATAACGCCGGGAAAAAGATGGGAGAAGATGTTAGAGGCTAGAAATTTACTTAAACAGGTTGTACAGCAAGCTCTGCAAATCCCTGTTGGACTATGGGAGGGGAGAGGATGGTCTGGGCTGGAATTTATTTACTTATTTTGAGACGGAGTCTCGCTTTGTCACCAGGCTGGAGTGCAGTGGCATGATCTCAGCTCACTGCAACCTCTGCCTCCTGGGTTCAAGCACTTCTACTGCCTCAGCCTCCTGAGTAGCTGAGACTACACGCATGCACCACTAAACCCGGCTAATTTTTGTATTTTTAGTAGAGATGGGGTTTCACTATGCTGGCCAGGATGGTCTTAATCTCTTGACCTTGTGATCCACCCATCTCAGCCTCCCAAAGTGTTGGGATTACAGGCATGAGCCACTGCACCCAGCCTGTGCTGGGATTTTTAAATAAAGAATCTCTTTGGAATCATGACAAGCACCGCATCTGAAACTGGAATTTGCCCCCAAGTCTTCTTATAGATGCTACACTTAGCAAAGTGCCTCCAAAAGTAGTGTTCCCTGGACCAGTTTCTTAGGAAACTAAATTGTCTGAGAGCTGAACCTCTACTGGTAACTGTGGCTGTAGAGACCTGAGAGGCAGGACTTTTGCTTGGTTACTCCAGAGCCCTTTTCCCAGAGCAGAAGGACGAAGGTAAGCAAGCGCCAGAAACATGAACAAACAGGATGATAACCTGGTAAATCATGGAGTGCCATGAATTCTCCCTTGCTTTGCAGAGCCAGTCTCATCAGTGTATAAAGGAATTATGACTTTCCTGAATTCCCCTCCCCTCACAAAAGGAATCTTCCCACAACTCATTCTAAGATCTTTTGGTGTTATCTCTTCCTCCACATTCGTATTTCCGCTCCAATCATTTTATTTTGAGTATGGAAATTAAACTTTGGGTCAGACATGGTGGCTCATGTCTGTAATTCCAGCCCTTTAGTAGGCTGAGGCAGGAGGATCGCTTGAACTCAGGACTTTGAGACCAGCCTGAGCAACACAGTGAGATCCAGTCTCTACAAAAAAAAAAAAAAAAAAAAAAAAAAAAATTAACCAGGTGTGGGGGCACACACCTGAAATTCTAGCTGCTCAGAAGGCTGAGGTGGGAGGATCGCTTGAGGCCAGGAGTATGAGGTTGCAGTGAACTATGATTGCACCACTGCACTCCAGCCTGGGCAACAGAACAGACCCTATTTCAAAACAACAACGACAAAAATGAACCATTAAAACAAAATGGAATAATCTTCATGAAATCTTTTCTCACTTCTGCAGCTTCCCACGCCTGACCTCACAGGGCTCAGGATCATGTTTCCTGAGTCTAAAATTGGGACTCCCATTCTGAACAAAGAATTCTGTCACTTTTCCATGCGCAGATGGAAGTGAGTTGATTATGGTTTGGACGATGAAATACTGTGAGCACAGGATTATTCACTGGGTTATGAGGATATGGAAAGATAGTTGAAATCAGAATGGTATTCTAATTGTTGAGACACATGCTCTCCAAATCACAGGCTTGTTCTTGTTCTTGAATGCTAACCGCAATGATCAGTCCACATCTCAGGGGCAAGGCGGCCAGCAAACCCGTCAAAGTCCGCTTTTGATTTTGTTATGCAACACTGGGTCTCTTCATGTAGGTCAAACCCTGTGGGCAGAGTCAAATCAAAAGGTGCCCATTCCTTCCCCTCTAGCTGCATGGCTGATTGAAACCTTTCTGCAGGCACTGCCCTTCTGCGTTATTGCTTCCATATTCCCCCGTGCACATTAACCCATCCGTAATGACTGGTCTCGCTTCACAAATAGCATCTCTGTAAAACACTATCTCTGACAGTAACAGAACATCTCTGTATGTTCATCCACATCCAATTAGCCTTTCCAAATGCCATGTTTGCTATGTATTTCTCCTCCCTCAAATCTTTCTCACCCTGCCCCATGCACCATTTTAGCAGAAAAAATAAGGAAAATGTTTTCCATGCATGATTTCCATAGCCCCAGCCCCTTGAATTCTCCCTTGCTTTGAAACAACAACGAAATGTTACCAACAGGGGTTTTCAATAGAACCCATGTCATCAAGGCAAGATTCCAACTGAATCAGGGAGATACCTCTGACTGTCACCAAGGGGGAAGGTGGACAGGAGAGCTGGTCAACACCCATTGCCTACCCTGTCTAGCAACATCTCACACTCCCTCCCTTCCCAACTTTCAGTCTGTTGCTGCTACCCCTGGCCTCGGCTTGTCTAGACTGAGCTCATTCTCAGTGGGGTCCTTCAGATACAGGGAACGATGTGTACACAGGTAGGAAAGAACGCAGAAAGACACAGCTGAAGCGCAAGGCTGCTGGGAGGGATGCTACGAGGCTGGAGAGTTCAGCTGAATTTGTCAAGAATCTTGTTTGCCGGATTGAAGAATTAGAGTTTCATCCTATGGCATGAGCAACCCCCAGACGTCTGAAGAAGGGGAGAACCACGCTCAGACTTGCTTTTTAGTGATAACAATGGTTGCAGTGTGGAGCGGGCCTTACCTAGAGTGGGGACAATGAGCCGTCCAGGGAGTCTCTCTCCTGTAACTAGGGTGTAAGGGATATTTCAAGAATGAATGAGAGTCGCCAAAGACGGAACAGATGTCGCACTAATCATATTAATCCTCAGCCCCAGCCCAGTTAGAATGGAGCTGTCACAAGGAAATTACACAAGCACAGATAACTTCAGACAACCGTAGACTCAAACAAAATGTTACTTGATCTTGAGAATCAGACGTTATATTAAAATGCACTGCACAATTCGATGGACCCACCCCCACCAGATTTCCTGCACAGCATGGTTGCTCTGGATCGGTCTGGACATGGGAAGGAAAAGCTGCAAGAGTTTTTCCTGGTAGATGTCCAAGGATCCCGGAGGTTGGTTTCAGTGAAGCATGGGGCTGCACAGGGTGCCAAGAACTAAAGGTGACAGCCTGTCTCCCAGGAGCCACGATCAATAGCTTCCTTAGGACATACTAGGAGCACTCTTCAGTGTTCTAGTGGCTACCCACACCTCTGAGACTGAGTTCCCATGGAGTTACCAAGTATCTCTCCTTTACTTCACAAAGCAAGAGAGACAACTCCAGAATGAGAACTAGGGAGACAGCATATATTCAAGACCTTCATTTTTAGCTGAGGCCAAAGGCAAATTACACACACGACAAAGGTCCCTTCTCCTGCACAGGGCTGTTGTGAAGATCTGATGATGTAACGACGGACGATTTGGATTGTGTGTCTAGGAGGGTGTGGCTGGGGAATGACCTCTGGACTAGGATCTGAATGACAAGAAGGACCTGCCATGACAAGATTGAAACACGTAAAGATGTATTTCATCACTGACGTCGTTGAGTGGCTACACTGAAAAGGCTGCCCAGGAGATCCCAAGCTGAATCAGACACAGGTCGTGCCTTTGGGAATCTGAGTCTGAGAGGAGTGATCAGACACACACACACAGATAATCATAAGCTATCAGGCAATGAGGAACCCCTGTATACTCTATGTTGTGCTGGACAGGATCGAATCTCCTTTAGTCGATAATTAACAATTAGGTACATGGAGTCTGGAGGATGTTGCAATATCCCAGCCTGAATGAGGGGAATGGGGATGGAGTGAAGGGATTTGAGAGATGCTGGGATGCACAATGAACAGGTCTTTGTATCTGTCCTCATCCTCCTCCTTGCCATCTTTCGCAACATCGTGTCTCGCATTTACAGAGTCTTTACTATCTTCTAGGTCCTCTGAACACATATGTTTTGCCATTTAATCCTAAAAATCCGTCTGTGAGATTGCTGAAATTTATAGGAAACTAAGACTTAGAAGACAGGTTAGGTAATTTGCCCAAGGCCATAATGCTAATAATAGGTAGAACTGGGATAGAAACACAGCTCCCAGACCAAAGCCCATGTTTTTAACCATTAGGTAAAAGTTGGAGGTCAAAGGGTCAGAGGTCATGCTGAGGGTTCTAGCTTTGCTGAAGGAGTAGATGGTGGCAGTGACCTACGTGCAGAGGAACGAGTTCAAAGCATGGTTACCATGAAGACTGGAGAGAGCCTGGCCTAGAACTAGTGACTCTGGTTTTCTCTTCTTGCAGGGTTATGAGGGACCAACCCCATTATGTGTCTCTCTTACACTGGCTCTTTTAACATTATACTTTACACACGCATGTGAATACATATTCTAGCCGATCTTCCTATTACATTACTTTCTTATTGTTATAACGTTTTATTTTGAAATAGTTTAAGACTCAAAAGAAGTTGTAAAAAGAGTGCAGAGAGTTTTGATGCCCTTTCACCCAGCTTTCCCTAATGATAATATCTTGCATAACCAAAGTAATTTGTCAAAACCATGTATGCCATTGACATCAGTATAATACTGCTAAGAACAGGTCTTGTTTGTATTTATCATTTTTTAGATGCACTTATCTGGTGTTTCATGAACTATTATCACATATATAGATTACGTGCCATGAATTTGTTTAAGGCAGCTGATATTTTCCTCCAAAACGCAGTCGTATAATCATTAGTTATAATCACTAGCTGATGTCATTTACCAGGAGAAACAGTTTAGAATAATAAAAAGAATGTTGGACTGGGAACCAGAAAACCTGGGGTGCAGTCCTGGCCCAGTCCCTGGCTTGCTGTATGATGTTGGGTTAGTCACTTCTCTTTGAAGTAGCTGCTGAAAACACTTCTACCATCATCCAGATCTTCTTGTCAAGGACAATGTTCAGAAATGAATCTGGCCTGAATTCTGGTTTGTGCATCAGGAGGCTGATCAATTGTTCACTGAGACGGATGACTTAGTGCTGACCTATGTCTAGACTCTTTCAGAGGTACCATTGCAGTATCCTCAGGGGGTGCTTGGGGTGGGCAGGAGAGCCTTCGTTCTTGTGCTGTCTCTGCCACCGATGAGTACTGTCTTTGGACATGTTGATAAGCTGTTCTGAGCCCAAGGATTTTTTTCTGTCTGGATGGGGATGGAGCAGCTACGTCTTAGGACTGTTGGGAAAATCAAATGAAGCAGACACAGAAGGTACTTACAGAATGCTGCAATATGGTGGCTTCTCAGAAAATGCTGGGTTTTGTCATCATTGTCTTCATGTATTTGATTTTGTCTGAAGTCTACCCACTTTTAAGTAAATCCGATCATCATGTAAACACCCAGACCCTCCCCTATTTCTATAACACTTTCTACTACTTCTTAGTCAGAAGTGTTCTCTTCTTCATTTGGTCAAATTCAGAAAACTTTGAGAGCAAAAAGCAAAACAAAACAAAACAAAACAGCCATAAAGTCAAGACACCTCACATAGCTTCACTGTTCTCACTGCTCAAACAGCACCTATTGAAAAGGACCAGCAAGAGCCTTGCTGATCTAGGTAGATCTCTGATCTACCTTTATTTTATGTTTCTTGCTCATCATGTACTGCAGTACAAAACAGATATTTCTTGCTGTTACAAAGACAAGTGGATAACCATCAGATGTCCTTTGTGTTTTTTTCCAGTGATTTTTGTAATTCATTGTAGGAAAATTTTACGCATTGCAAGCCATCACAGGAGAAATTGCTCAAGAATTACCCCCAATTGTGTGCCAGAATTAACCTGAACGAAATTTCCTGAGGGAAATAAGCAATCTGGATGACATATTTGGAGGTGAATTTCACAGGGAGGAGGCCTCTGTCCATCATGGCAGGGTAGGCTGGTGCCAGGCATTCAGATAGTGGAGGTTCTGATCCCCTAATGGGAAGCAGATGTGTCTGTGTGTGCTCAATAAACACATGAGATAGGGTAACCTCAACTGTTTGGCTAGATGACCCCCAAAGGTAAAACAATGTGCCTTAATAATCATGCTGGTAGAACAGTATGGGAGAATATTAAAGTGATTAGTAGCTGACACCAATTTACTTATATTTACAGTGTGCTAATTCATGGAAACGCATGTGGATGCCAAAACGTTTATTCATGACATTCTGTTGAAAGAAATTCTTTGCATATGATAAATATCTCCTTGTTATTACTGTTAGGAATGTAGATCAATACCACCTTCCTGGAAAGCAATTTAGCAATATAGACAATTTGATCCAGCAAATTCTTATAGGAATTTATGCTAGGAAATGATAAGAAATCAGGCCAACAGTTTCTGTATGAAGGGCTCATCACAGTATTATTAATAATAAAAAATTGGAAACATCCTAAATGTTCAACATAAGGAAACAGTTAATCTATTCTGGGTGGATCTTTTTCCACTTGTTATTCTCATTAAAATCTTCTAACACTTATGTCTGTAAAACTGACCTTCCCTATAGTTCAGTAAATGTTTCCTGAGCCAACCTCAACTATGTGCCAATGCAGTGGTAGGCAGCAGAGACATGAAGGTAAAACAAACAAGGTTCCTATTTACAATCTGAATTAGGGGTCAGAAAACTATAGCTAGTAGGCCAAATCTGGCCTACAACTTGTTTTTATAAATAAAGATTTATTAGAACACAAACACTCCCATTTGTTTAGTTATTGTCTATGGCTGCTTTTGTGCCCCAGCAGAAGATTGAGTGGTTGCAACACAAACAGTATGAAGTATTTAGATCTGGCCCTTTACAGAAAACAATTGCCAACCCTGGTCTAAATTGAAAGTCGAACACAATCAAATCACTTCAATATTGTCTGTAAATGTTGAGAGGGAGATGGGCAGAGTCCTGTGCAGCCAAAACCAATGCTCAGGTAGATGCTTCCAAATCTACCCCTAATGGCCCTCATCCTGCATCATATACACCCAGTTGATTTGTTCTAAAATGACTCAATTGCAAAACAGAAGGCAGAGAGTTGTCTTCTACCGCAGTAGTCTTCAACTTTTTTTTTTAAGTTAAAAAAAAAAAAGATACTTCACAAATAAAATCTCATGTGGAAATACAAGGCTCCGCCATGTAAAAGAAGAGCAGACCTGCTTTGATTGAAGGACTGTTAGGGTTTAGAAGCCTAGCTTCTCACCCTCCTGCCTGCTCTTCGTCCTCAAGGTGAGGGCTTCTCAGCTTCAGCTCTACTAACGTTTTGGTCCTGAAAGGTCTTTCCTGTGGGGGCTGCCTTATGCACTGTAGAATGTTTAGCAGCATCCCTGGCTTCTACCCACTAGATGCCAGAAGCATCCCTCACTCTCAGTGTGACAAACAAAAATGTCTCCAGACATTGCCAAATGTTACCCTGGATGCAAAATCACCCTCAGTTGCAAATCACTGCTGTTTATTCCAAAGCTCATGGGACACCTAGGAACACATGACAGATTCCCCAGAAAGCTTTAAAACGATGGCAATTTCACAGAAGTGCACACACAGCTTTTGTAAATGTCAGAGAAGCTAATGAGCAAAGGACACTTAATTATTCAGTTTCTAAAAATAGTTCCTTACTGCTATCAAACTATCCAATAACCTTCTTGAGTTCTTCAAGATTGCCTCTTGGCTTAATTTCAGCATGAGTAGGATTATGCATTGCAAAGAGCGCAGTGCCTGGGACATAGTAGGTGCTTAATAAGCATTTGTTGAATCAAAGAGCAGCTGGTTGAGGAATCAAAAGATCAAAGTTACAGGACCAACTTGTTCTTTGAACTGGTTTATCTCTAAGGTCCCTTCCGGTGCCAATTTTTTTCTTTTAAAAAGAGATATAGCCCTGATATGAAGAATCCTGCCATATTTAAAGGGAGGGAAATTTGCTTTATATAGACAAAATTAAATTGGAAACAGGAATCAGTGGAGATCAAATTGACAATGCCATTCATTTCAGGAGAAGAAATGGTCCATAGGATAAAAGGTATTCTGGCTTCCTAAATGAAAGCAATTGTAAAACGAGTGATCTGGTTTTAAAAGCTTATGGCTGTCACTTTTCAGTACCTCATCCTAGTTCATAATAGGATAGCATCTTACCACGGAACTCAGCTGGAAGAAAATGTTGGCGCTCTTGTATGATAAAACTGGGTAAGAATCAACTGTAGCTATGTTTACAAATCTGAAGAAAGGAGTCCTGAGGGGTAAACATCGTATTCTGTAAGATAATTAATTACCACCTCCCCCAATTCCACGAGGGTCATCATTCTCTGGAGGGGGGCGGTATCCCAAACTCTAAAATTCTAATGCTTTACTTTCATAATCTTCCTTCTCCATGAATTGAAATGGGAGAAGGAGGAAAGAGGCCTGAAATAGCTTTTGACAGTGGTAACTGCTCTATTATAAAAGTAAGATAGCCATATTTTTGTGTAGAATACTAGAAACCTCTAGACTTTTACTTTACTTTTAATGTGTAGAGCCGTATGGTGAATTGTGTTTAAAGAGACTATAATCTATCTGGCCAGATTTTACTGTAATTTTTTAGTGTCCCAGGAGGGGCTGGCAGCAGGAAAAAACCATGTGGGATGGGTCTGTTAGAAGCTGTGGTTTTGGGCTGCTAAGGAGGTCAAGAATAGGAAGTTCCTCGCAGAATGGAGCAGAGAGATACTGCCTGCACCCTATAGGGTGGAGTTCTGGAAGGCAGATTATCAGCAAAAAGACAATAGCGAGGTGGGTTGATGAACTCTGATCCAGGATGGAGGCTGCTTGCACACTGGCCTGATTTACAGGGCTTCCTGAGCACAGATGGCCTGAGTCTACCGATGCAGGTCACAGCCAGAAGGCTCTCAGGGGACCGTCCTCATGGCCGAAAGGCAATGATGGAGATTCACGCTGGCATCCTTGTCACTTCCCTTAATGCACAGCCAAATGTGCCTGTTTGCATTTTTCTCCACAAGATGGCACCTCGATGCCTTTGTAAGAGGGTACTCACCTAAGCAACCAGTTTAAGTACAGGAAGCAGTGATTCAACATTAAAAAAAAAATGATTGTTGAGAAACACAAGAAGGGTGGACTCAGAGATCCAGGCTGACTACATATTCACTGGGCTCTTCTGTGCAGGTTTCTGCCATGTTGTTAAGGCATGATTTCATTTCTTAAAAGTTTTTTATGGAACATCCAAAAAAAAGGTAGGTGAAATATGCAGAGCTTGTATTTCCAAAATGTTGGAGAAAATGCTTTAAAATCTGTATAAATGAATTACAACATTGGGGAATCCATGGGCTTCTTAGATATCATTGGGCAATCTCCAGGGATGGCTGAGAGGACCTACTGGGTGAGTGGGAAGACATGATGTGAGAAAAGGCTAGCAGCCAAAGTGTGGGATCTTAAATCTAAAGACTCTCGAGTGGGAAACGGCATGCTGAAAAGCTCTTTTCAGAAGATGTCTGGCAAACACAGGCAATGAACTAGAGATGGAAGACACTGGAGATTGAGACATACACAGACAACTGCATTAAGATGGAAGCAAAGTGATGGAGGCCTGGACCAGAGAGATGGAATCAGAGTGGAGGGCAGGGGCCAACAACCTCATGCTGAAGGAATGGCTAACTGGATTGAGGGTGGCTGTCCTAATGAAGGCGGAGAAGTAAGGAAGACCTCGGTTCCTGGCCTGAGAACCTGGAATAATACTAGTGTTCTTCAGGCAGAAACTCTGCTAGGGGGCAGGCCTTTGATGGAGCCATCTTACAGCCAGGATCTGAGCATGGATCTAATATTCATTAATTCATTTATCGAATTTAGTTATATTAATTCTCTCTCCCCCATTCTTTCATTGGAATTTTCCTCTAGAACTGTATGCATTTTTATTTTAGCTTTTTGGATAGGAATCCTTCTAAAGTATATTTTATAATCCTCATTTTTTAAAAAAATCAAGACTAATAAGCATTATATTCCCTGGCCCCTTGTTACTCAAAGTGTGGCCCATGGACCAGCAGCACAGGCATTATCTGGGGCTTTTTAGGAGTCTCGCACACCTTCCCACGGCTACTGAATCAGAATCTGCAGTTTAATAGCATCCTAAGGTGATTCCTATGCACATTCAGGTTTGAAAGGTGCTGCTCTACATTGGGGGTCGGCAAGCTTCTTTTGTAAAGAGCCAGAGAGTAAATATCTTAGGCATTGCAGTCATATGGTCTCTGTTGCAACCACTCTGCTGGATTGTTGCAGTGTGAGAACAGCCATGGACCATTTATGGCTTTGGCTGTTCCAATAAAACTTTATTTATACAAACAGGTGGCAGGTGGATTAGACTCACATGCTAGATTTGGTTTACTTGCTAGATTTGACCCAAGGGCTATAACTTGTTGACCCTTGCTCTTGATGACTCAGAGACATTCTGAGGTGTGAGAGATTGTCAACCTCTATATTAAGTGGTTCCAACTACCAGAAGGTCTCTGCCATTCCTCCTCTGGATGTCAGAGGTCACTTCTTGCAGCTGGTAGTCCCTTTCCTGACTTACTTATTGGCTGTTTTCACCAGGAAATGGCTGAAGAGCAAATGAAATATCCCAGAACTGAAAGAACTCGCTAGTCAATAAATGTTGCTGTGATAACTGGCTAGCCATATGCAGAAGTTTGAAACCAGACCCCTTCCTCAAACCATATACAAAAATCAACCTAAGATGGATTAAAGACTTACATGTAAACCCCCAAACTGCAAAAACCCTGGAAGACAAGCTGCATAACACCATTCTGGCCATGGGAACTGGCAAAGATTTTAAAGACACCAAAAGCAATCACAACGAAAGCAAAAATTGGCAAATGGTATCTACTTAAACTTAAGAGCTGGATGCAGTGGCTCAGGCTTGTAATCCCAGTACTTTGGGAGGTTGAGGTGGGTGGATTGCCTGAGGTCAGGAGTTTGAGACCAGCCTGGTCAACATGGTGAAACCCATCTCTACTAAAAATACAAAAATTAGCTGGGCATGGTGGTACATTCCTGTAGTTCCAGCTACTTGGGAAGCTGAGGCAGGAGAATCACTTGAACCTGGAGGCAGAGGAGTTGCAGTGAGCCTGAGATTGTACCACTGCACTCCAGCCTGGGCGACTGAGCAAGATTCCGTCTCAAAAACAAAACAAAACAACACTTAAAAAATTGTTTTCTTTTGCTAGTCTTTCCTGGTTTTTCTTGGAGACTAGCTATGGAAAGTTTCAAAAACTGGAAAGGGGTTATATTCATTTTAGAAACAGAGCAAGGGAGACTGCTGGGTGGAGCCTGTAGATTGGGGCATGTTGGGTCATGGTCTCAGATGAGTTGTAGGTGGAAAACAGATGCAATCAGGGCATTCAGGCATCTCCCAAGGATTTAGGTAGTCAGAGGACCCACGAATATATGTGACAGCTATTATGGCTGGACCACTCACCACATGCTGGGCACCTTACCTTATGTGTTACCCTGCCTAATTCTCTCGACAACCCCAGGAGGTAGGAATTACTATCCCTATTTTGCCAAAGCTCAGACAAGGTAAGTAATAGGTCAAAGCTCACACAGAAGTGATGGTGGTGGGTTTGAAATAAATGCCTTCTGGACCCAAAGTCTAGGATCTTCTTCCTTGTGACATGGTAATTGCCCCATAAACTGCATACCTCGACCATACCTTGGCTTTCCGTTGAAACTGCTCTCTGTAACTCTACTGTGACAGGCAAACAGTCCAAACCAATGCCATTTTGACCCCTGTGCCATTTTAAGAAAAACTAAGACTTGTAATAAGTAACTAAAGTCTATAATTTCCACCCAACTCAGACAATGTGCAAACTAACGCTTATCTTGACTTCTGTGAACCACTTAAGTAACAATCGGAATGTCCAAAGTCCCCTGGCCCACGGAATGTCCAAAGCCCCTTGTCCTCACCTCTGCCCAGGAGGTGGTTTACGGGCATAAAAGGTCTTGACACCCTCCTTTCGGGGCCATGTTAGAGAGACGCAAGTCCTCTGTGGCTGCCCGGCGATAAAGACCCTGCAATTTGGCCTAGACTTTGTCTCAGTTGTGATTTCACGCTCACTCGGTTACAACACCTCTGCTGGTTGTATTGTCTCTTAGGACCACAGAAACCCTTCTTGTAAGAGCAGGGCCTCGTAGATGGCTGACCAAGGGCCACATATACACTTGTATCTCTTGGGCTGCTCTCGGGCTTCCCCAACATGATTACACATGGGCTTTACTCCCAATCCAAGTCCTCCCCTCCCATGAGGCCTGGCCACATTGCTTCAGCATCTCCTATAGCTTCTCTGGATTCCCTTGCTCCCCTGAAGTCCCACATTGTACTGATTTACCCCCCATGAAGGGACATCTATAACACCGCCCTTCCTCCCATAATGAATTTCTTGATCCAAAACTATCCAAGGAAATTGTAACTATTTTTCTCATTTGTCATCCTGGGAATGGGAGCTATTGGTTTGCCAAGTTGAGAGGTATTTATGACTCAAGGAAAAATATCAGGTTTCTTGGGTGATGTCATTACCCAACCCGCGAGCTTGCTCTCTGAGACCAGAATGACTAAGAAATTAAATAAAGATAATTCCTTATTATTCTCTCTTCTAACCACAGATACATCCAATATGAATATTTCATTAGGAAATAAAGACATTGGGTTCCATGCATTGTCAGAAGGAAGAAATTTGGCTGAAATGTCTAAACATGAAGGCTCCTTCATGCTTTTCTTGAAGGATGGCTAAGAACAGGGTTATCTGTCAAGCTCAATGTGTTCCTTAACAGTAATTCAGGTGGCAGCCAGATGAATGATTCTCACGCAGGGAGAGAATTTTCATTCTCTTGCAACTTTAAACCAAAGGGCAGGGCAATGGCAGATCTTCTGCCCACACATGGCTTCCAAGTGACCGCACTAACAATATGCACTTGTATACATAAATATTTAGGACACATATGCCAGTTGGAAAAACACTGATCCTTCACCTTCTTTGGTGGAAGTTTGAAATTCTTAATTTTCACCAGTCCCTTCTTTAAAATCCAGATCATATTTATGAGCTTTTAAATCATGCCCCCAGATGTGTAAGCATAAAGGTTAAATGTTATAGTTTCAGGTAATCTATCCTGCATGTGGTTGTGAAATTTATCTTTCAAAGACACTGCTGTCATCATGTCATTGCTCTGGCGCAAAAGGCCTCCTGATGTCAGCTGTCACTTAAATGAGCAGATTGCTTCCTCCTAGGCTTTATGCCTATATGTGATTCCCTGATTCCAGGTGGAAGGGAGTGCCTAGGGCTGCAGCTGCTCAAGAATACGACTTGCCCCAGGCGTGGACAACAGAGTGAAGTTAGGGATTTTGACAATGATCCAGTGTCCTTATGCTTTGACAGCAAAAATACGTTGTTGTCATAAAGTGAAATATATAATAATTAGTGACACTATTTATTAATTATATCTCCTAATTTACTGGGTTGGTTTTATGATGATAAAAGCCACTTTTATGTTTGTAAAAAGCACCTGATACATGGAAGGAACTCAATGAATATCACGTTTTATTTAAAGTCAAGTTAAAGATAACACAGAGGGCAAATTCAGAGAAATACAAATAAATGATATCAATTCCCAGCTTAAAGAATAGCTTCTTGGAATGTTATTTAGCTAAAGAATGGCCTAAAGATGCTTTAAAATATGTGAAGTGGCAGCAAACATGGAAGTAAAAAAAAAAAAAAACAAAACATTTTCCCAGTAGAGGAAAACAAACTCTGGTTAAAAGAAGGAGCCAAAGTCAAAAAGAGTCAAGGATTCAATTTTGACAACCGATGGACTCTGGTGATTTTAGGTTCCATAAGAAAAGTTTGCCCACAGTATTCAGAGAAGTCCGCAGAGATGCTTCTGAGCACCATGAAAAGCAATATAAAGAAAGAAAACTGGTATTTTTTGGTTATCTGATAGGGTGAATATACTTACTGCCATTTTAATAAAGGAGGAAAGAGGGAGATTAAGTAACTTGCCTAAGGTCACACAGCCAAGTGCTAGGATCTCAGCTCACATCTATCTAGCTCAAAAACTCAAAAGCAGAATTTTAAGATGGAAGCCACAGAGGTGAGGAGATTAATGAAGTGACTTAAACAGGGAATATGGTAGTGAATAGCAGATGCCAGCAAGTGGAGGGATGAGGGAAAGTTGCACTGGGTGGCTTTTGAGTACTTACTCTCTCCTGAGAATTCTTGGAGTATTTTTTTTTTTTTTTTTGAGACAGAGTCTTGCTCTGTCACCAAGGCTGGAGTGCAGTGGCATCATATTGGTTCACTGCAACCTCTACCTCCCAGGTTCAAGCAATTCCCTGCCTAAGCCTCCTGAATAGCTGGGATTACAGGCCTGTGCCACCATGCCTGGCTAATTTTTGTATTTTTAGTAGAGACAGGGTTTCACCAACTTGGCCAGGTAGGTCTCGAACTCCTGACCTCATGATCCACCCATCTCAGCCTCTCAAAGTGCTAGGATTACAGGCGTGAGCCACCGCGCCGAGCCAGAAAGGAGTCATCTTAATACCATCTTGAATTTCCCCTTTACACGCATGGGACACCTCCAATTTCCCAGAAGCTTTGAGTTCTCTCTTATCCACTGCCTACATGCACTGCCTGAAGCACTGGCACTAAACCTCTCCCAAACATTTTTTTTTTTTTTTATTACACCAAAAGGGTGTGATAAAGGCTTTTCTCCCCAAAGCAAACCCAAGGGCCTGGAACTTGAAATTCTTTGGGACAGCTTCTATTTCTTCTGGTGGTTCACTCTGCCTCAGGGCTACAGAATGTTTTTCGATGATTAGAAAGGGAATCTAAAATCATAGTACCATGATTTCCATGATAGGCCAGGATTTCCCCATGATATGGTTTGGCTGTGTTCCCACCCAAATCTCATGTGTGGTGGTGGGAATGCGGTGGAGGTAATTAAATCATGGGGGCAGTTTCCCCCAGGCTATTCTCATGATAGTAAGTTCTCACAAGATCTGATGGCCTTATATGGGGCTTCCCCCTTTGTGTGGCTCTCATTCTTCTCCTTCCTGCCATCATGTGAAGAAAGATGTGTTTGCTTTCCCTTCTGCAATGATTGTAAGTTTCCTGAGGCCTCCTCAGTCTTTCGGAACTGAGTCAATTAAATCTCTTTCCTTTATAAATTACCAAGACTTGGGCAGTCCTTCACAGCAGTGTGAAAACTGGTTAATACACTCCAAGATGATCTTTCTTCTGGGTATGAGTCACCCTGACAACCCTGGGGCTCCCCCTCTTGAGCCCTAAGGTACCCGCTTTGAGACTATATTCTGTATTTGATTGAGGGCTGCAAGGAAATTACTGTTCAACATGTGTTTTTAAATAATGGTAGAAAAACAGCCTGTTCCTTTAAGCTGAAGGAACTTCTGGAGCTCTTGGGCAAGGGAAGGCTATAAATCCATAGCCTTTTAGGAGCTGCTGTAGAGTATTCATTTGGAATTGTTATTGCCTCCTAAGGGTTCCATGAACTAACCAAGGCATTAATCCAGAGCTGAGGGGTGAAATGGACTGCTAGAGGAAGTTATTGGAAGTGTCTACTTGCATACTAAAAAAAAATCTCTGCTTCAAATAAGTTGGTAATTGTAACATGACTGATACAAAGCCATTTAGATTCGTAACCAGTAAAATGATTTATCCACTTCTTAGGATGGCTGGAAAACCATGTCATCACATACATGAGGATATCCATCTTTCTCCTTGCTATGGCTCAAAGTCATCAACAAATTGAACCCGTTTTTAAAAAATAAAAGCTAAAATGTCAGAAGAACAGAATACAAACAGAGGTAGCATAGAGCATTGACTTAGCTGGCCGTGAAAGTCAAATTTGAATTTTTTTGTAAATTTGGAGCTTACAGTTACCAGTTTATATTAGGAAACACCACAAATTCTTGCTGAAGATTAGAATTCTGTATTTTATAAAAACTGAAATGGATAGGAGCAAAAATAAAATAAATTTGAAGCAAAGGACAGCTATCCTTTTCAGATAATATACCTCTGACATTTCATTTCATAACAGATTTGTAGTATAGAGAAGAACAAAATGACCCAGCCAATTGAATGAAGAGGAGGCTTATCACAGTAAAATCAGGCTTATTGTCAAGTATTCCCACTAAACACAGAGTGCTAGAATCAGACTCTTAGAACAGAAGAAAACATAGAGATCATCTGGTTTAACCACAATCAGTTAGACCTTGGTGTCAGCCTGGATCCTACTGCTCCCTGTTGAGACCTTGGACAGGCACTGGGGCTAATTTAACCTATAAATCATGTCTGCTAAATGAGATAGGTCAGTGGCTTTCAAACTATTCCAAGGGTCTACTTCAATATTTTCATAATATTTAAGATATATTTTTAAAATGTGAAGAACTGTGATAAACATGATATACACTCAACCACAATATATGCCTAAGTATAACACACTGGACAGCTCTACATTAACTCCTTTTTATACAGCCTCTGAAACAAACTGCTCCCATTTTTATTTAACCAAAGAGACTATCTGTCTATAATTTCTTGCCTATGTTAAGAACTCTTCAAAGGTTGTAAATTGAAACACAATTTAGAAATAAGTGAATGCTAAGGCATCTAAATCATTTTCCATATTACTTGTGCTAAACTTTCTAATAGACAAAATAGCCACATGCCCACTAACGCCTGTATAATAGTTAGATGTTAATGTTTCAATTAGAAATGAATTTATACTAAAGAACAAGATCACGTCCTTTGCAGGAACATGGATGAAGCTGGAAGCCATCATCCTCAGCAAACTAATGCAGAAACAGAAAACCAAATACCACATGCTCTCACTTAAAAGTGGGAGCTAAATGATGAGAACATG